CACAACCATAGTCAATGAAGCATGAACATAAAAAGAAATTGCAAGCTGCATATGTAATGGTCCATTAATGCTTCAGATGATATCTGTTAATGCAGTTTTGAATTTAAAAAAAAATTGTCTTTTGACATCACAGTGAGAAAACAAAGAAAAAGGAACAGGAGAGAGCAATATCAGATGCCACCAAATATATGTACTAATATTGAGAATAGCTATCAGACCTCACTAGACATGTGAAATTGTTTACTAGTTATTTGCATGTCTAAGATAAAAATATCAAAAGATACTGGCCTTTCAAGGGGATAAGGATCTTGGTCACAAGGTGCTAAGGTTGCTATCTTGTACTGACTTCTGTAATAATCAAGAAAGCTGAAGCCCAGACTCTTAACATATGACTTCAAAAGTAAAAAGCCGTCATCCTACTTCCTTGTCGAAGTCTACTTCAACACTCATTCCCAATTCCACTCCTATATTACACCTTTTAAGCAGTGCCACTCATAAAATTCTATTATCTTCATTTATGAATACTTTAAAAGCTTACAAGAAAATAGAAAGCCAATTTTCCCAATGCATGTTCTTACTCTTTTTTCCTTTGCTTCTTTTTCATATTTTTGGATTGTACGGTCATCAACCTGACCACTAAGGAAAAGTATTTGGCCTCCAGTTGTGGACTTTCCAGCATCTGCAACCAATACAAGACACGTTATTACTATACATCGACATACCAAGTAAGCAATAGGGCCAAAACAATGGCATATGAATTACTCTATTTGAAAACTAATGCATGCAAACATTCAAATGCATTCAAGACCTGCAGCCTTTCACAACACCAAATGAGACAAGTACAATGTAATAGACAGAATTACAACAATATAAATATATTTTTGGAATAAATTGATCTGTCATAGGTTATACGTCAATTATTGGCATGATAAGAAAGCCAGGTCATTCAAGACGAGCCAAATGTTAGTGGAAGTTTCATTGCTTGCTTTATTTTGCTGCTTCAAGAAAAGAGAAGCCCTTTAGAAAGTACAGAGCACAGTTCAGGTGATAAAGTACTTGTTAGTCTTGTGGCCTTCATGTGTTACTACCTTGTAATTTCTGGGAAACTAACAGATGGGAGATGCAGCTGGCAGCACCCATTGAAGGCATATAAAAGTAATGAAAAATGAATGAAGTCACAGTGTCCATATTACCGGGATATGCATGATCACTTAGGACCCTATAGAGTGTGAGTGTGTGTGAGAACATTAGTGGCTAGTGGTATGCATATAGTTCTAAAACAAGCAACTAGGACAGCAATCTAAAGCCAGAAATACTAAATTAAGCAACCTTGTGAGAAAAATAAACTTACCGACGTGGCCAATGAAAACAACATTCAAGTGCCTCTTCTTATCTAGTTCCATCTCATCATGTTCTTCTTCTGGATCCACATTTATCTTCTCCTTCCCTGCATATTCAAGCCAAAAATTGACATCCAAGAAGAATATATATTTGAATTTGATAAGAAAGCTGATGGGTGATGCACTACAAAACAAAACAAATATGCGCATAATTACAGAAAAAATTTAATACGGACAGAAAGAAGCTTCCAAGCTACCTTTCTGCTCAACCACCTCTGGCTTAACTGAATGTGGATGAACCTCTTCCTTGGAATCTGAAATTGTTCCAATATTTGAAAAAAAAATAATGAATCTTCAATGTATATCTCCCATCAAACATAAGATTAGTGAAACTCTCCCATTAAGCTTTAATATCCTATTTCTCCTATAAAAAAAATATTAAAACTTAGAGGTGGAATAACATTTAGCAATTCTATCCCTGGAAACTTAGGTCTGCATAAATAGTTAATTTCACCAAACAAGTTGCCATTCATAAATAAACAGTAAGGTAGGTAGTCATTGATTTATGATTGGCCAATTATATGTAATATGAAGATAAGAAATTTATTACAATCATTTGTAACTAGATTAGCACCATAATTCTTTGTTCTCTTCATACAAGCATCCTAATCTGGCAACCATCACTAGATTTCAAAGTATCACCCATCACAAATAGTAACCGTTAGCAGTTAATACTAAGCATATAACAGGTTAATAAAGCACAAGCACACTGTGCCCTCTCAAACAACTTCTCCTTAACAAAACAATGACATATTAAAGTATTCGATGATACTACCAACCTTCCTCCATTTTATTGGAATTCTCAACTTCCGGCTGTGCAGCTTCTGGATTAACAACTCCATTATCTTCTGCTAATATATACACAAAGCATTAATACAAAACTCAAATTTTACCATAGAACAATTATCTGTCTGAACCATAATAACTAAATTCACATGTCTTTTCAGAAATACCTGCCGAATCAAGCTGTAACGATCGGATTTCCTCCTCAATATCTACCATTTACAGAAAATTGAATAAGTAATTAGAACTATGTCACAATTTTCACCACAACCTCAAATAAACGCCTACTAACCAGAGCAAATAGGGAAAACTATTATATAATTTACAAGCGAAATTATTATAGTTATGCGCTAAACTTTATTCTGAACTCTATTGCTCAGTTTCCCAGAAACAACGAGAATTCAAATAGATTAAAAGAATTTATTTCTTGATATCAGCGCTGAACTGAGGGAGGCCAATCAATCCTAAAATTTAATCAAATACCACAAAAAAAGATCAATTTGAACAAACAAAAACTGAAACAAAAAAAAAAACAAAAAAAGGGGGCAAACCCTGACAAAGTAGAATAAACGCAAGGAAGATTCAGACCATAACTCATAAAATCATCTAATAATCGCCTATAACCCAGTGGATCTACCGGAGTTTGATCAAGGGAAATTAAAATCTTCGAAAATTAAAAATTAGAGAGGTGGAGACAAATTTAAAAGGAAAAGGAAAGCAAGATTGTTATGCACAAGTAATTAGATAAAGAAATAAAGAAATATGTATACGAGACTGAAGGTGACGTACCCATGGCTAGAGTTCTCCGAGATTCTGTACTGCCCGCTAGGGTTTTTATGAGAGCGAAAAAGAATGGAGTGATAAAATGGACACTAGTTTTGCGTTCTGGAATCTACTATTAGCGTAGAGATGTTGGTGTGCTATTTTATATGTGATAGTTTTTTATTTCACTATCTTTCTATTCCACCGTCCTGGCCTAAAGGTTGGGCTCCGGTTCGGCGCTCTATCAACCCGGTTCATTATTTACTTGTACAAAATTACCAATTGTGTAGTACTAGGGCTTTTGATGTAATGCTTTTTATCATGCTGGTGGGTATGAAGAATCGAATTTTTTCTCTTGGAGGATACAAAATTTGTATTTGATGTTATATATATATATATGAATACAATTGTTTTAAAGAAAATGCACCCATAAGTGTCATCATTCCATACTTGTCCAAAATTACAAATCAGTAGACATGAGTTTAGCCAAGTTGATTAAAGCAATTGTGCTCCCAACTCTGTGCCGAGTTTAAATCCTTTTTCCCGTAGTTTAAAAAATTAGGACTTTACATGGTGGGTTTAGTGACAAAATATTTTGCTATTGGGACTAGAAACCTCTTCATCTCTCAAGCACACCGTGGTCCATTAGAATCCAAGATGGAAGATGGATGGCTAGGCTTTGATCCAATATCTTTTTATTATTGGTCTGATCTTGGATTGGAACTGAAGCCCAGAAATATGAATAAGAACATATTTCAATCTCTATAAAATATGGGCCTGGCCTGGCTTGTTTTTCTATAGCTTGCCTAGCCCAGTCCATTGGTATAATATATTGGACTCTGGTTTGTCCATTCCTAACTTCACCGCACCCAGCCCAGTATTAATATATAAAATCATTTTGAACAAAAGTAGAATAAAAAAGGCGAAAGAAGACAAGAAGAAAGCAATAAAAGCTAAAGACAGGCAGGGTAAACATGTTCCAGGACAGTGAGATCTAGCCCTGGATTTCATGGTTATACTATTATACATTCGCACCAGCCTGCCTTCTTTGCGCATCACCATCTGCCTATCAACCACCGTCCATCCAATTAACAAGCTCAGATATTAGCCTACGTGGCAGAATCGAATGATGGAAAGAGCGTCTTATTACAAAAATAGTCGAAAGTGCGCGAGTTAGCAAGGCAGTGGGGGCAGACAGGAGCGTGGAACACGCGTCAGAGATAACGTGGGCACGCTGCAGCTGGTCCCACCAGGCTGAGCTGTATTGTCACATCGACGTCCCTTTTGTCTCATCAAAAAGGAAATCTTAATTCAACAACTACCACTCATTTCACCACAGACTTTTTTGTCTTTCTCCCTACGTCGCTGCCACGTGTCGGTAGCACTCGCCGAACTCTTCATTCAAATCAAAACTTGGATTGCTTTTAACGGTAAGTCGAATTTGTTAGGATTGGTCTCTCTCTCAACTTCTCACCTCACGAGATGTTTTAACAGAAAGAAAGCAAGCATGTGAGCTGTGGCGCTAACTGGTGCAAGCAGATGAGGAAACGATAAATTGGGGTTAGGGCTTGGAGACTGTAGAGCGGGGGAAACAAGGCAGGCAGGCAGGCACGTGATGAGTTTTAATATCGCGCAGCGGGGGAATCTTAGAAGCCGGTTCCCTAGACCTGGTTGATAGAAACAGGCTTTGCCGACCTATCCCACCATTATTTTATTTTTTTATCCAGAAGCATTATAAAAAGTTGCACCTCAAGTTTCAATCTTATAACCAAAGGTCATCATGGTGGGTTTCAACTTTGAAGGGTCAATTATTTAGGGGGAGAAAATGGTTGAATGGTTGGCGCTGTACGCTACTTTGGTAGCTAGAGAGGGTATCTAATTAATGTTTTACATGCCTTGTATATATATATAGGGCAATGATTTCCCCACTCCTATTTTATCCACTTACACTCCTTTTTTAGTTATAAAAAAGGAGTGTAAGTGGATAAAATATGAGAAAAATGAGTGGGGAAATCACCACTCTATATATATTGGCTTAAAGGGTATTCGTAATTAGTTAGAGAGAGGTAGTTCCCATTCCCAGTAGAGAGAGAGAAGGAAATGGTTTTAGCTAGCTTTTAGCTATCTGGCGATGACTTTATGATTCTTTTGATCGAAGCTTGGTGGAAAGCCATGGATCCTTGAGATATATGGATTTCGATGAAGGATGCATGGATCTAGATATATGTTGTAGTAATAAGATGATTCATGGGAACTATTTTCACGATAACAAAACCTGTTATTCGATCAGTGTTCATCTGCAGGTTAGAGGGCTGGATCTCTCTTGGTCAGTGAAGGGTTTACTGATCTTGTCTTTTATCATCTTGATTTTCCCTTCCAAGTTCATATATATATATATATATATATATATGTATGTATGCAGGTGCTAGGGTTTCGGGTAGTAGGTAGGTAGGGGTAGCTAGGGTTACGGAGCAGAGCTCCTTGAAGTCCAATAGAAGGTCTTGCTGGGTGGATTGAGCTGCTGAGCTATGGATCCCACAGCCCTATCCCAGATCATCAGAGGAATAGGCTTGTGGCTTGCATATCTCAGGAGCTGCATTACCTGTGTTAGATCTTTGTTTGGATTGAAGGGAGCTCTACACCTTTCTCTCATCCATCATCTCTAATACTTAGTAGCTAGGTTTTACACATGTTTTACTTTGATTTGTACTTTCACTGCTCCTTAATTAATTATTTACCCTCTTTTGGCTCCTTAATTAATTACCGATGATTGCTCTTTCAACAAGTCCTTGCTGCTTTACTGATTCTTTAATTACATGGTTTTTAGAGTTTTAGATTCTAAATACTTTCAGATCTGTGTGTTTTTACTTTATTTTTTTGTTTGTTGTATTAACTGACATTTCAAACCGCTGTAACATGATTATAAATATGTAGATCAATGGCTTTGCAGTTCTGAAAATGCATGTTTTTCCAACTCTCAAGTCCCATTTTGTTATTTTTTATACAAGTTTCGCAGTTCATTTGATTGCGATTCTAGGTTCCAATTTTTCAGGTGATGTCAAGTAAAAGATTATGTGCCTAACAAGAATCAGACGCGCCTGCTTCAAACGAATCTGTGTGCACTGGAGATGTGCAGTGCAGTGTGCAGAAGCTTGATAGTCGCAGGTCAACTTGGGCAGTAATGATCGTTGACCATTACTATAATAATATCTCAATGCTTTTTTCACACCGAGGGAGGAGCCAGCAACATGCAAATGCCGTCTCCTATGTACGTTTAAACCTTGTGACAAATTATTAGCTTAAAATTTTATTGTCAAAAATAGTGAAATTAGAGATCTCCAACAATTTTGAATAGGCAATGAATAATTATCGAACGGATACGGTGAAAATCTATGTACTACCGGAAATTACAAATGGAAGAAAATTTGTGTATAATATCTCTGTTAACTTATAACTAGAGGTATGAACGAGAGTTTGTTTTACTGAGTTGGCCAGGATGAATCAGAATTCCATGAACCGGTTGGGAACGGCCGGATCGGCCAAATGAATCCATGCGTGATGGGGTCGCTTCAACATTAGGAGGTATTGGGGTTTCAGGAGAGTGGCCGGATATGCAGAGGGCACCAGATTCATCTTGCTCCCAGAAAACTTGTACCATAACCCCAGTTGGATATTCTGCACATTCCGTTCCTGGAATCCACACAAACCTAGCTCCTACAGGTATCTGCAAAACCTTTATACGCAAAGTAACTTTAAGCTTGATTCCTGGTCAATGTAAAAAGGAAAAAAGAAAACTGACTGTGTTTACCTTAACTGAGGCTCCATATGTTAAAGTGAGAGTAACCAACCTCCCCTCAGCTGTGGCAGCTTCTAGCTCTGCCTGCCTTGCGATATTCAAGAAGACTTCTTCAAGAGTTGTAAGTCCAAGTTGGATGTCTACTATGCCATATTCTCTTTCTCTATCTTGAAGCTCCGCAAAAAATTTCTGTATTTAGGTCACAAGCCTCGTAAGTCAGATATGCTTCTTATTTTGCAGTTATAGAGGAACCAGAAAAAGATACTAAGCAAATTACCGTCAAAAGCCCCTCTCTATCATGAGGAATAACAAAAGTCAGAAATGCTCTGTTCTCTTCTTTTGGTAAAACATCCAAATGCTGCAAAAACTTACCCCACGTTAGAAATTAGTCTTTCATATGTACACAAATAAGTTCAAATCATTCAAAACCAGCCTACGTGTTTAAAGAACTGCTTCACAGCGTCATGATGAGGATTTTGCCCATTCGTGCTTCCACGGAAGCTCACGTTGGCAATAAAACCAGTCCCAAACCTTGACTTGAGCCTGATTGAAGTTCCAATGCAACGGAGCCTACCCTTTGCCATTATTCCTATCCTGTCACCCAAAATGTCAGCTTCTTCCATTGAGTGAGTGGTTAGGACAATTGCACGCCCTTTCTTTGCATCCTCTATGACGTCCCATACATGCCTCCTTGTTATGGGATCCATACCAGTTGTCTGCAGATCATAAAGTAAATTAGAAAACCGGAGGAGAAGTAGACATAGTAAAGGGCTTGGTCCACATTTCCGTACCGGTTCATCCAAGATGAGTAACTTTGGATCACCAATAAGGGCTACGGCAAAACTCAGGCGACGTTTCATTCCTCCACTGTAACTCCCAGCTCTCATTTTGGCTGCCTCAGTGAGTCTCACCTCTGCCAATGACTTCTTAGCAACCTGCATTTGAGGAGCATCCGTCTTATACAGAACAAAAGAATCATCCTTGCCCAACTTCATGAGCACCGGTTTGAACTCTGCGTATCATAATCCTTCATTTCCGGAACAAAAAAGAAGGATTGCAACACGCAGAGTTTAAACATAGTGCAAGGAAGAAAGCATGTGAAATACCCTGTGCAAGTTAGTGTAGCACATACCGATTTTACTGAAGCTGAGGGGAGGCCTTTAATACTAGCGAAGAGGTGAAGGTGCTCTTGCCCGGTCAATGCATCCCAAAGAATATCGAACTATGAATGGAGACAATATACATACACGTTGAGTCAAATTTTTCAAATGAGTTGTTGCAACATGAGAGAGAGAGAGAGAGAGAGAGAGAGAGAGGAGCACCTGCGGACAAAATCCTATGATTTTTCGAATATTTGCCATGCCAACAGAGCTCCGAGCAGAATTTCCATAAATCAATGCTGCGACAAGGCAGTTTGCAAATTTATCATTTCCCAATTGGCATCATAATCTCAAGACTTTTCCAATCAATGCACTCCAAAAATAAAAAAATTATAGTATTACCATCTCCTCCAGTCACCGGTGTGTTGCCAGTTAAACAATTGATTGCGGTGGTTTTCCCAGCTCCGTTAGGACCAAGTAGACAAAATAACTGATCCTTTGCAAAGTTGACCCACAAACCCTGAAAGTTATTCAAAATACTTCAGTTGCTTGCTACTATATTATTTCATTTTCCAAAACATGAAAGGCTGAAACATCTACCTTTCATCTCCACTATATCTTTGGTCTAAAAAGTATAACAATGAACCTAGAGAAAAACTTGACCATGAAGACATATATATAACTAGGTAAGGTTGGTTACCTTGAGAGCATGGTACGGTAAAGTCCTCCTGCACTTACAGCAACCAGTTGTGGTAGTCCCGGGATATGTCTTTACAAGGCCGCATATCTGAACTGCAATGTTTGGATCAACTGTGCCTTCCTTAGTTAGTTGTTTTACAATGTTCTCCTCTGCAAGCACATCTTCATCATCCGGCGTAAAATGCTCCTGCGGTGGAACTGAACCCATGCAACTACAAATGCCACCCTCTGTGGAAAGAGAGGAAAAAAAAAAGCATTATGTCATAAGTACCATTCAACAAGGGAAACTCAACCACCAACTGAATTTCAGTCTTATATTTACCTTCCAACTTGTTTGCACCTTTCCCTGTCCAGTATCCTGGATTTAAAAAGTAAAACACTGATTTTCTCACACCAGATGCATTTGGGATGATATTGTCCAAGTAGATTGCCAATATAAACCAGAGGAAGAATGTAGCCACCAGCCACAAGTAGATGTCGTTCTGACAAAATTCGAATGTAAATATAAATAATAAAATTCAAAAAGACCTTATAAAGTTATGTTAATATTTTAAATTTGAGGATCAATTTGTTCACATACAATTGTCATACAATCATGATCATCATTTGGCCCACACTTTGTCCTTGTACTCCAGCTAATCCCAATATCCTTTGGAGTGGATGTTGCTTCCGCGAGCATCTGTAAAGCTTTGGCAAGAAGATTAGGTGGGAATAATGACCAGACGATTCGAACAGTCCAATCTGCAATGAAAAAGTGGAATCTGTTATTAGTACTATTGAACCAATAACCATAATCTGCAAATCTTGATTCTTGAACTGGGGAATCTTGCCTGGGTTATAAAGCCAACAATAAATATGAAGAAACCCACAGTTGAGGATGTAGATGACTTTCTTATGAAGGTTGACAGCATAAAGGCAAAACCAATCTGGCAACGAAAGCCAGTGGATGGATCAGACATAATTGCTAAGCAGAGGCTTAACATGAAATCAGCGAGCAAGAACAAACATAAAGTAAAAAACTAATTGCACCAAACCGACTTACCATATTGAGTTGGAAGAGAAAGAACACGAGGAATAAGATTGCAAAACTGTTGTTTAGGAAAAAATCGAACCGAAACATCATTCCGAATAGAACTGTGAAAAGTGATGAGAGAAGGGTAATAATTCCTTCCCATGTGAGCCATGAGAACCAGTATGCAGTATCATAAAGGCCCATCATTGTCATTGCCTGTCTAAGCTTCAATTCTTTCTCTGTGATCAAAGAACTCATTTGAAACACAAAACCAAACATGGAAGCCGCAAAAAAGATGACAGGAACTACATCAGTCAACTCAGCGTAAGCCTCCCGTGCAGGGTGTGCAAATTCCTTGAGGGAAAGAACCCAGCTAAAATTTGGAACTGTAAAAAATCATTAGACAAGTTTTAAGGTCAAGGTGGCAAGCAACCATGCAAATAAAGCTTTCTTCAAAGAAGAGAGCATGAGAAACAAAACATAATACCTCCAATCAGAGACCTGGCAATTTCACGCTCTGCAGCAATCTGAAGCGGTATTTGGAATTTGAACGTTGGATCTTCGTATTGCCCTCGTGCTTTAACAGGAGTAGAATTAGTCTGTATGCCATAGCTAATTACAGTGGCATTTCTTTCCACAAAATGCAAAGCTCCTGAGCAATGCATAGGATTACTGTACAGCCATGTATCTACTTCATCTTTTGTTCTAAACGATTTGACCTGCACAATTAAAAGCCAAAACGAGACTTATCACATGACAGTTGGTCCAACGAAACAGAGTAAAAAGAAAAAGAAAGGAACAAGAAGAGCAAACAACTTTTCCCTGCATTTTCTCGACAACCAAACACAACGCAAAAGTCCAAATCTTTGGTACCTTGGACGAGGGAATCGGCCTGTCCGGATTATTAGCCATGATAGCATGGACAATGGTCTGAATCCTAGAGCTTCCATTTCCGCTCCAGGCGAAATCAAAGCAGGGCTTTTGAATGGAGTATTTGTGTTCGCATGGAGGGATGGGCGGCGAAACAAGAGGTGGAGGATTGGTGAGGGTCTTGTAGTCGGTGGACTTGGCTTCTTGAGCCTTGAGGCCCCTCTGGATAAAGAAAATGAGGAAGACGAAGAAGAAGGAGGAGAAGAGCTGTACAAAGGTAGCCCTCTTGCTCCGCCATGAAAGCAAAAGGTTCTTCTTCAACAACGCCTTGTATTGTTGCAACAGCAGTGGAAAACCGCTCTGTAAACTCATGGTTTCTTTCAAGTAAGTGTGTTCGGTTTCATTCATTCATAATTTATACTTCCCAGTGATGACTCTGATGAACTGAAGATCGTACTGTTTTAGAAGGCGCGATTTTGCGCGTTAAGTTTTGGGAGGGGGTAAGTTTAAATTACCAAACTGGTTCTGGATTCGATTGAGTATTAAGGATTTGCCACCGCGTTTAAGCTTATTACAGGAAAACAACGGGATTTTCTCCGAATTATTGCGATAACTAATGCTGATTTTATTTTTTTTGGTCAATCAATTTGCATGCGCGTATGCAATTCCTTTGATTTAGGGGATGATTTCTGTAATGTAGGGATAAGTAATTCCCTGGCAGCAGCTTAAATATTAATTAGATAGAATGAAATTAATACTTTGATTTTTTGGGGGTCTGATCTGATCTGTTTTGCGTGTGTTTATTTCTTTGATTCCTTAAATGTCTTGAAGATGTTAATTCCTTCCCTATCTCCCCAAAATTAACAAAAAAAGACTAGGTATAATTAATCACTCGCAAAACTAATCAAATGAGCAAGTGTGGCAACTGGCAAAAATTAATGAGCCGCGTCAAGCCTCTCTCTCTCACCAAAAAGTATACATTACATAATGGTACATCAAGAGCAGAGCAGATCAAGATCAAGATCAGTCTGGCAGATTAATATAAATAATTAGTTCTTATTTGGATTCAAAACTGGTCTCATTCCTTATCATTACAGGTATCTCTAAAATTACTTGACTACTTGAGTTCATTTTTTCCTTTTTCAAAGGTTTAGAATATTGAATCTTTGGTGCTGACAGACAAGTCAAAGGAATTCCTGGTTGCGGACATCAATGGCCGATCGTTTACGCGCCCCGGCGAGCTTCTTGACTCAGTCCAATGCTTTGCTTAGAAAGAACTTAACCTTTCAGGTCCATCTCTCAAATTTTGTCATCTTAGTTTCAGTGTTCTTTTAATATAAATTTTGGACAAGCACTGATCACATTATGTGCATTATTTTGCAGAAACGAAATATGTGCTCGAATGTATCGCTGGTTTTAATACCTTGTTTGCTGTGTTTGATTTTGCTTGGTCTACAAATTGCGACAGACAAAATGAAAATGGAAGAATCCAAAGGGAACTTAATCAAGTGCGATAACAGCAGCAGCGGTTTCGATGAAAGGAGCCCTTGTCCCTATCCTAAGCCTCGAGAATGGCCTCCGGTATTGCATATACCCGATGCTACTTCTCGTGCAGTTACAAGTGACTCTGTTATTCCTTTCACAGACTTGCCCGACGAGTCATGCAGGGCTAACGGCTCCTGTCCTCTCACTATACTGGTCACTGGAAATAATCAGTCTTTTGGACAAAGTATGCATGTTTTGATTAATTACATGTTTTGATTCATTTGTTGTTTAATTACTATTATTAACCTTAATCTCTGCATTAACTTGGATAGTTTTGGCTGGGAATTTGTTGTCCAATGATTTCCCTCTCAATTCCTCTGATGTCATGGATTTTCTGGCCAACAATGTCATGGTAAGTTGTAGTCATTTCTCCTTTTATGTTTTGTTTTCGTTCTCTTTCTTTTATACAAGATTGAACCTAAGAACTTGAGATGCAGAGTAAATGTTCTTAATCACTTGAGATAAATGTGCAGGGATCTCACTCCTTACCTAGAGCTCCCAACTTTTTAGACGGAGCTTTCTTCATACAAACCATCTATAAGGTGCAGCGCCAATGCTCCCCCAACTCTACATTCTCCATTCCGACTCTTCATGTATCATCCAGACTCGACCATGGACGGGGAGGGCCTCCTCATGCTGTGGTTAGGCTGGCCTCCGCCCCACCTCACATGCTCATAACAACCAAAAAACTCCCAATTTCTAAATCTCCACCTCGTTTTAGGCCCGCGCCCGACCCACCTGAACCCTACCAGCCAACTCCCAATCCACCTCCAGTCCCCTTCCAGCCCACTCTCAACCCACCCCC